GGTGAGTCTTTTAAAAGAGGCCCTGTAGAACGTGTGTACTCTGTATCCACGGGGCCTCTTTTAAAGGACTCACCCTGTATTACTGTTTTCATGGTGCTGCAAGGCATTATTGCCACACCAGATTAACACAGCTACTCTTCTGGAAATTGTTATTTAATGGAGAAAACTCTTAATGGTGGATTGTGGTAAGATACATCATTGCCAATTGTAAGCTATGTTTACATTTTCTGTACAAAATGAGTAAGTGTACTGGCATCCATGATGATATAAAAGTTTCCAGAATGATATAAAAACAGGTCCTATGCGTGGTATGATTCTAATCATTGACAGAATTTAATAAATCCCCATTTTGCGGGTATAAAGTTTTAAGACTCCCAACCCTCCAAGCTTGCTGCCGCTTCTGTGTACAGTACTTCTTTTATTTGACTGATCGTAAATCAACATCTGTAACTACTTTATTCTGCATAGCTCTTAGCTTTCGAAGGCTCTCTCCAGTCTGCACTCTTTGCTGGCAGCGTTGGATTTCATGGGCTAATCGGGGAGGTAGCGAGGAAACTGGCAGTGACAGATGAAGCACTGGATTGAGCTAAATGGCCTCCCAGCTCTCTCGATCTGCCTTACTGGCAAATTCTTAAGAGGCTGCAGGAGCTACTGCCACTCAAGGCAGACCAAGCTGTAAGGCTGTACAGTAACACGGCATGTACTTCCCAGGAACTGCAGCCTAAACAGAATGCTGGACAACAAGGTCACATTGTGCCAGCTAATCTGGGTGTCGGCTGCCAGACGCCTGGCCTCCATTCTGCCTGTCTCGTGTTCAGTCACATGAATTCAAATTCATCTAAAATAAGCAACAAGGAAACAGAAAGTGCCGAAAGACACCCAGGAGGAAGTGTGTGTCATTCTATTTAGGAATGACAGGTGATAACTCTCAGTGATGCGTCTCCAGTGGACCATTACCTTAAAAGTGATGAGGTCACACACCCCGCCTTCACATAACACTTGTGCTTTCCTCACTAGCATATTTTACTTCTGCTGTGAGAGGAACTTGTTGCCATGGGAGTAGCCAGCATTTATTTGGGGGGGGGGGCAGGACACCTACCTGTCCTGTTCCAGAACCTGCGACGTGATAGGTCAGTTTGCGGAAGCCATGCCTGTCACTCAGTTGGGTTGTGTCACTAGAATGCGCCACAACATCATCCAAGTGACCTCAGCAAGCCTTTCTGTTTCAAATATTCTGATTGTTTCTACTTTTAGTTAAGTCTTTTTATTTATTTACTTAGGGGGGGTGCAGCTGACCCCCTGGCTACGCCCTCACTTCTTGCTAAGGGACTTTGGGCTGGTTCATAAATGGCTTTGACATGTAGCTTCTACATGTGGTAGAGCACAGGAGTATGCCTCTGACTCATGCATGGGGATGTGTCAGTGCACACACACAAATGCACACAAAGCAACTTCAATATGCTTTGAGGTCTACGAGTCCCACCCACTGACACCCTTTCTTCTCCGCAGATAGATCTCGTGAGTTGGGTTTATGGTGTTCATGTAATTTAGCAGCAGTTGGAAGGGGGGGCGCTCCTTGAGGTTTCTTTACTGTAAAAACAAAACTTCAAGGCAACTTATACGATGAAATAAGTAAAAAGCAAACAACCAGCAAGATGGGAGCAGAGCAGGAAGATAAAACAATGTAAGCCGAAGACAGAAAGATAAAAACAGCAGCTAATCCTAATGCAGTTTTCACCATGTGTACTCAGAAGTAAGACCCATTGAGTTCAATGGGACTCACTCCAGGTAAGCATATATAGGACTGCAGCCTTAAAGGTGTTTTTGTTTTTGCAAATGTCATTTTATTGAAGTTTCCAGTAAATTGCATAATAAATATTCATCAACCTACAACAGAACAAATAGTGAGGTTCCTGTATGGTGCTCTCATCCTAGGTGAGTGTTCTGTTTTAATTCTAGTAAATCTCTCCAGAATGGATGTCTTGGAGGCCCAGTATTTTCCATTCTTCTATTATGAATCACAAAAATGGGCACCAAACTTCTTCAAAATTGTCATGCCTCATCACACATGCGCCTCACCTCACAAGCCTGCTATGGTGTTTTGTCTCGTGCATGTTGGTTCGTATAATTTACAGCCCATTATAAATGGCTGTCGACCCCTTCCAGTGTTCCCATATTTAGGTATGCATGTATCTAAGCAAGCTGGTTCATCTGTATGTAAATTTCCCATGCTCTATCATGTTTAGAACCTGCACAAGGGGGGTTGCACAGAGGAGTCAGATGGCAGAAAATGAACACATGAATCCATGAATGATTTCCAGACTCTAATTATTCTCCTACTGCAGATGATGTACAAGACTGGAACTTGGTTGTAAAATTGTCAAGTTTGTGGCGTATCAGTTACAATTTTATGCATTTGATAAGACTGTTTTAGAGCAGGGGTGGCTAACATTTGTTCCTGTTCTTCTAATTATTTTATTTATTAATTGCTTTGCAAGAGGCATCCCAAAGCAATTTACAATATTTTTGGAATATTCTAACTTTATGGAAATGCTGTGTTTTTGGAATATGGTTTTTGGAAAATTTATATTACCCGGATCATTGGCCATTCTGACTCAGGCTGTTCAGAGTTGTAATCCAACATTTGGAGAATGAACACAATGCGCCAGTCATGTGTTCTTTCATTTCTTCTGACGGTACTCGTATATCTGTAGCATCATAAATATCTGGAAAACCAGCTTTATTATTTCTCCTTGTGAATGTAACATACCACGCCAACCTTGGCTTGGTTTGTTTTAGTTTTTATGTGTTTGTTTCATGAAGTTCTATTTTTAAAAAAGAAAAAGTATGAGCACAATGCAATAACAAAGAATTATGGGTAATGAAGCATATTCTGTAGATTTTTGCAAGGGCCGTGTTACCTATTTCTCTGCTGCTGTTCATGGTACAGTCTCTTGCATGCACTATAAAGTGAGCCACTTCCTGCCTTGCTCTTGGCAGCTTGAGCAGGGAAGAGCAGCAGATTGAGGTAAAGGGACTGTTACATCGATAGTCCTTTCAGATCATATCACAACCCTGCTAGCAGGAAATGGTAAGAGGAGCTTTCCTGTCCTTTATCCTAGCATCATCACTTGCAAACGTAAAAACAAGCCTTTTTGTCTGCAGCACAATCAGACCCCAGTGCATTCATCTGAGGTACGTTCAAGTTCTGTATATTTGATCCATCTGAACGCATTATTAGAAGACAGAAACACAATGGTGTACAGTGATACCTTGGTTCTCAAATGCCTTGGTACTCAAACAACTTGGAACCCAAACACTGCAAACCCAGAAGTAAGTGTTCTGGTTTGCGAACTTTTTTCGGAAGCAGAACGTGCTCCATTTTGAGTGTTACGCTGACGATTTGAGTGCTAAGCTGACGATTGGAGTGTCACGCTTCCGTTTTGAGTGTTACGCTGAGGTCTGTCTGTTTTTGCTATTTATTTAGCATTTTTGTTTTTGAGGCTCTTTTTTTGTGACTGTGTGGAACCCAATTCAGCTACTGATGGATTGATTGTGTAACTACAGTACATTGTTTATTGCTTTCATTTTATGATCTTGTTAGGTAGTAAAATTCATGTTAGATTGCTGATTAAGGGGTTGTTTTTAAAAGTCTGGAATGGATTAATCCATTTTGCATTACTTTCTATGGGAAAGCACACCTTGGTTTTGGAACGCTTTGGTTTTGGAACAGACTTACAGAACTGATTAAGTTTGAGAACCAAGGTACCACTGTATTCATAATGGTGTCTTCTTCCACAGTGGAAACTCTGGGGAACTTCTGACCAGCCAGATATTGTTAGACTCCAATTTCCATCTTTCCCAGCCAGCATTGTCAATGATCAGAGCTGATGGGAGCTGGAGTCCAGCAACATCTGGAGGTCCACAGGTTCAACACCGTTGCACTATGTAAATATCTCTATTTGGTGCCAAAATGGAGTTCTTGTAGAGCTCATGTGCACCTGTTGGTATTTTGACATCATTGCAGCAGGGATGGGAAACCTGTGATTCTCCAGACGTGATTGAACCTCATTCCTGACCATTGGCCATGCTGGCTGTGGAGGGTGGGAGTTGTAGTACAACATCATCTGCAGGGTCGTAGGCTTTTCCATCTCTGATTCTGACATTTGTGAGAATTGATAACCTGCCCCTTGTCTTTATTTATATTTCTCAACAATTTTTTTAATCCCAGAGGATATCGAAGCCATTTTCACACTGTGGTCTGGGCTGCCTCTTTCTGGTTCAGCTGAAACCCCAGCTGATCCTTCTCTTGGAGACATGTGTTTTAAGCATGCATAGGCAACTTCACAACTAACCTATTGTAATGCACGGTTCAGAAAGTTGCTGCCCTTGAAGGCCATTTGTAAACTGCATCCTGCGCATTCTTATGGAAATTCTCATGTGGAGGCACTGCTCCTTCAGCAAGCCTGAAACCCTCCTTTTGAGAAGCATATGGTTTCTCCATATGCAACACTATGTACATAAGGAAGCACTGGTGTCTCTTTCTGGCCACTTGTTTGTGCATTTTGCAGAGGGTGTGTGTATTTGTATACTAGGCTGGAAGACGTAAATGGAATTATCTGGCCATTGGTGCACGTTGACTGATAGTGCCTTTCCTGCAGGGATGATGATGTTGCCCAAGATAATGATTGATTTGATGATGGGGAAGGCTGTGGGAATGTATTTCAGTGTGACGATGCTTAGCTTTTCTGACTTTGGCCAATTGTACTATTGACCCTGTTACAGGTTGAGTTGAATTTAGGATTGTGACTCGATTATGCTGGTGTCCGTAGTGGCATAATAGTCTAGTGAGACCTGTCCAAGTGGGGAAATACTTATAGAACAAGCTCGTCCAAAGATCCCCTGAGTAAAAGGGCCATAATAAGCTTTCCTGTGTTCAGTACAGTTCCGCAAAACAGATATTAATACTATACTAAGCTTTAACATCAATCCCTTCACAGGAGACAGTATGGAAGCTACTGCAAAATTTGACTTCAATGCAACAGGAGAGGATGAACTGAGTTTCCGGGCTGGGGATGTTCTGAAGGTAAGTGCAAACCAAGGTTTCACCCAAGTATTTTCTCTTTTAACACTGTAAGTTCTGCTCAATGCTTATGTGCTTGTATTAACCATCCATCCCATAAGCCAGCAAACCCACAACTGGCACCGGTAGATTAGTGGTTCACTGATAATTCCCAGGTTGCATAGTAAAAAGCGAATCCTTCTTAGTCCAAAATTTTAATCTGCATTTCAAAGATGAACAAGAAGAACAAAGACTCAAAGTAGCACCTTCTACAAGGTCATTAAGCAATCACAAACAATGGAAGAGTTATGCACAAGGATTTCAGTACGCGACAGTGGCTGCTAGAACTCTAATAGCGCAGAATTGGAAGTCATCAAAAATCCCAACTATAAACGAGTGGCAATCCAAACTATTTGATTATTTAGAATTAGCAAAAATGACACAGAAAATAAGAAATCAAAAAGACATAAAGTTTAACAAAGAATGGAATAAATTTATGACATACATGGAAACAGAGGTAAAAAATCTAAAAATCACAGTAGGTGTGACATAACACTTGTGATGTAAAGAGCTTTTTGAGGAAAAGAAACTGCAGATAAAAAATCATATAATATATTCTGAAACCGAGATGAAGGGAAGTCAATTAGTGTTGTGTGTTATTTAGTATATGTAACCTAATTTGTTGGTATCTTATATTAGGAGATGTTTTTTCTTTTGTTTTCTTTATTATTATTTCTCTTTTTTATATATTTCTTTTTTGTGTGTATGTGTTATGTATGTTTCTTTCGTTTGTTTTAATGTTTGATGTAGCAAAACGAATTAAAATCAATTTTTTAAAAAAAGGAAGAGTTATGCACAAGGAAATCATTTGGGACAATGTGGGTACGGGGTGTGTGTCTTGTTTACCAATGTTCTTCAAATCCTATGACTGCCTCCCCCAACCTGATGCCCTCCAAATGTTTTGTACTACAACTCCCATCTCCTCTGACCCTTGCCAATGCTGGCTGGGGCTAATGGGATATATAATCCAACCAGGTTGTGGGAAGGCTGTCCTCTGGAACAGTAACCTAACTGTGAAATATCTCTATTTCACACAACATGTACATACTAAGTATCAGGCTGTTTTTGAAAAGTGAAATGGGACGCAGCCCTGATGTGGAAAAGATGAAAGAAGCAGGAAGTGTGAGGCCCACTGACAGGAGGAAACCTATCTCCTCACACTGCCACCCCTTGTTTAGAAAAATGATCAGAAGCCAGCCCTCCATGCACCAGAGAAATTGATTGCTCCAGGTACCTCTTTCCAGGAAAGTAAGCATTAGACAGAGGTCGCCTTTAGTATTTTTACCGTTTGAGCATTGGACCATGGGAAGATAAACAGCTGCATTTATTTTAAGTGATATTTAGTTCTGCCACAGGCATAGCTAATCTAGCTGGTTCCTAGCCACACATATTTTTGGTAGTTTGGCATGAGGTGCCATCACTAAGGTTCACCAGATGACTACGTTGTGGTTATTTCTGTGAAGAGAAAAAATAAAGCGAGATTTTCTACGATGAATGCAGATATATTCATTTTCAAAAAATTCAGAAAAGGATTGATGCATGAAGAGGTAGAGCCAAAACACAATGGCCACAATTCAATGCAGACATCTAGACATTGAAATCAATGGACTTAAGTGCATTTCTCTACATTGACTTGAGCTTGGTGGGTTTTGGTAAATCCGTGGTCAGTGGAAAACATTAAGGACATGTTTCTATTGCCTATAGTGGGCAGAAGTTTACAATTCTTTGCCCTTTGGGGCTTTTTTGCTTCCATGCCTCAGCTGCTTTAGTGCAAGGTCAGCACAAGTAAAGCTGCAATCTTGCACACACTTAACTTGGGGAGTAAGTCCCATTTAAGTCTGTGGGACGTCCTTCCACGTAAACATCTATAGGATCTAATACAGGCATTGCTGTATGAATCAGGGGGCATTTTTTGGCCACTCTCCACCCTGTTAGTTAAATGGAAGGATTGGTATTTTCCTGGTGCAGACCACTAAAAGCAAAGCAACCCATTAAAAAAACTCTCACACAGCTCCTTAAGCCCCCTGTAAGATCTTCAAAGCAGAACTCTTTCATCACAGACATATTAGAAATACATATCCAGATCCCTCCACCATCTGAACAAGTCTGCAGGAATTTGGGCAAAACTAACGAGCACTTCCTCTAATACCTCTGTGTCCTAATACCTCTGTGTCCTCCTCGTAGTTTTACTTCTTCCAAATGCATGTTTTGCTCCCACAGTGGCTGCTTTTCTGCAAGAGCCCTTGATACCTATCCGGTCTGTGATTGTCCTTTCAAATTACTTGCTTTGTTTCCTTTTTTCTTGCGACTGCATTGCCTACCTTTGAAGTCTGGTTCATTTGCTACAGGGATGGATTAATTATTATGCTAACTACATTGCAGAGCAGGATACTACTTGCCAAGTGGGCACCTTTGCAAAGTGGTTTTGCAGTGTGAGAAATGAACCTTTGCTGCGTGCGCTCTCTCTCGCTCTCTCTCTCTCTCTCTCTCTCATGCTTCCCTGTAGGCAGCAGGCAGTGACTAGGGAGTAGCTGTCCACGCCCGCCCACCCTCATGGCAGCCTTAAAATCCCTGGGCCTGCACCACTTGTGGATCAGAAAATTCTGTCTGCTGTACTGTAGTGTGAAATTACCACTTCAGAACAGAGGAGGGTCGCTTGTCTCTGTAGCTGAGTGACCATATCTGTGTGCAGGCTGAAAAAGCTGTGTTATCAGGCAGGACTGAAGTAGCACTGTAATTAGTCACTAACAAACAGCAGCAACTGTTAAACAAGGAAACCAATTTACTGAGATAGCAAAGTCCAGTGCAGCTGATGAGTCTTGCAGAAGTCTTCCACACTGGCCAAGTATCTGTTTGTGTTTGTGTGTTTGACTCCTGAAGATGTCTGTATTCTCCCAAGGCAAAGCATTGTTAAGGCATCAAATGAAGCATAAACTGAAAGTTCTACAAGTCTAAGACCCTGTACATACCACTTTAAGGAGAGGGGTTATCGCCCCTTGAACCATTTTTTCAGCAATTAACCAATCAGTGTCTGGGAAAGGTTTCACAGCCTGTTTCCTAATTTGGATAGGTTCCAGCTAGGACATGTTTTGAGGACATGTCCTCAACAACCCTACTCTGCCTTTATTTTGGTCACCTTACTTCTTTTACTGGAGTTGCATCCTTGTATCTTGTGAACACTTCAGCACCCGTCATACATTTTATTGCGTTATACAAGGGGCAGCAGGGTTACACCATTGCCGCCACCACCATCCATGAACATCTGCAAGAGCAGAGCCTGAGCATTTATACCTCTACATGGGTAGGTTCCCACAGGAGCCGGAATCCTGTGCAGTCAGGGTTCCATCTCCTAGGGAAGGCCAGGCATGTAGAGATCCAAGTGCATGGGCTTTCGGCCTGCAGACATTCACACCGAATGTGTAAACACTGAGGATGGGAGATGTCATGCAGCAGGGACAATAGAGCATCTCCACTGTACCTTGACTGGGTAGACCACCCTTCGCATGCAAACTGCATGAATTGGGCTCTCAGTTAGGCACAGTGGCTTTGCCATATCATTTCTATAAGGCAGGTATGGGGAACCTTTTGGTGCTTGGGTGCTGCTGAGCTACAACTTCCATCAGCCTCAGCAAGCATAGCCATGGATGGTAGGAGTTGTAGTTCAGCGACACCTGGAGGGCCAGTTTTCCCACACCTGCTCTAAGGAGAAAAAATTGAGGTTTTTCCCAAAGAACTGCTGAAGCTTGGTTCAGAACCTTGCAGACAAATTGACAAATGTCTAACAGTGGGGAGTGTGCCAGGAAGGGGTCATGGGACATTTAAAACCTGAGTAGAATAAGACCTATATGTCCTTTAAACTAATACTGACTCTCCTTTTGGTGCACAGATTTTAAGCTCTAAGGAAGAGTGGTACAAGGCTGAGCTGAATGGTTATGAAGGATATGTCCCAAAGAATTTCATAGATTTTCACAGTCCCAGGTAAGTATGTCAACTCTTCTAGGTGTTTAACTTGAGCATGTTCTTGTACACTGCGGTCCTGATGAAAGTCAGAGGTGAGGGTGTTCCTAGAATTAACATTTTGAAATCTCCTGCTAGACACGCAATTAAAGCGATGTTTATTTTGATCTTCAGCCCTGTGCACCTGCTCCATTGTAAAAAGAGGATTTATTGTGTGCATGAGGCAGAGAGGGACATCTCAGTCATTTGTTAAGTGCAGGATCCTGCTTTAGCAGCCCTTAAGTAAATTATGGTTTGCACCAAAGCTGCTAATTAAACCACGTTCACAGTGCCCAGGCATAAACTTCTCAGCCTCTTGTGCTCATATGCTGTGGTACCATATGCAAGTTTATTATCCTCTGCAGATTTAAAGACAACAGCGACAATCAAACTACTTTGCATCCTTTTTATATAAAAAAAGCTTTCCCCCCCCCTAAAGTACTGTGTTGTAGCAGAGAGTACACCTGGTGGCTTGACTTCAGTAGACTACATGCATGGCAGTGCAGACTTCTAAATAATTATTGGCATATTATTAACCTGGAGCAGGTGTGCGAGGAACAGTGTTTGTAGCCTCTGGGGGATTGTCGTTGGCTTGTATGTGTTGCACCACTGGCCCCTGCTGGATGGAACCAAAAGGAGCTTTTTGTATAGAGCAGTTTCATCTGCTGGCAGCTGAAGGGTGAGAACTCAAAAAAACAAAATGCAGGCCTATATTTTATTTCATTTTTAGACAAAATTCATCCATTTTTCTCTTGCAAGTACCTGTGCCTTGGGTTGTACGTTAGGGTGATATAAGCTCAGTTCTATGAGCCTTCTGAACATGAATCTAAGGATCTGATATAGAGGGACATCCTACATATAGTCATGACATTTAACAATAGGAATGGCATACTTCCATTTTCTGAGCTTTGAAACACTGTGAATGTTGAAACCCTTTAATTAATGCCCCCCCTTCCCCCTCTTTGGATGGTCATGTGTATAGCATATGCCAGCCCCACAACATGCAGGGGCCCACCTGCTCATTCTGGTGAGTGGGGCCCTGGACTTCTGCCCCCATGTCCTGCCCTGGTGTCATCACCACTTGAAAGAGGCTTTCTTGATCTTTGTGAAAGCAGCACATGCTGGAGTTCGGGGTTTCCAAAAGAGGGGTGCATTTACTTATTTTTACTCAGTTTTTCCTTTAGCAAATAGCTGGGTTGTTCTATTTCAGAATGAGTCATGTGGCATTTTCTACCATTGTGGCAAGATTAGTGCCGCAACCCCAGAATTGGCCACGACTGGACCTAATGGTCAGGGGTCCCTTTACCTTTACTCTCTTTTCTTTACCTGTTTCACTGTAAATTTTCTCTCCAATTTTTTTTCCTTTATCACTTCTTTCTTTACTTCTTTCTTTCTCTGTCTCTCTTTTTCACCACCTACATTCATCTCCATGAATGCAATCTGTTGTACTTTTCAGCTGGTTCCATGAAGACGTATCCCGCCACAAGGCAGAGAATATGCTCAGGGGGAACAAAGTGGGTTCCTTCATCGTCCGAGGTACTCAAAACCGTCCAGGCGACTTCTCCATCTCTGTCAGGTACTTGTGCTTTGTAGCCTTCTTACCTACCTTTTAGGAAAGACTGGCGTTTGGGACTGAGGAGGTCTCCCTCCAGCTGGCATCTTTAAACAGGCCTGCTTTCTGTTTCTCTGTATGAAGATCTGTTTAATTACAAATCTGTTATCCTGCTATCTGCTTCCAACGAGGCCTGACAGAAAAGCTTACAATATAAAAACATCAGCCAATAAAATATATAAACGGTGCGATCCTATAATTTAGTATGTATTACATATTCAGAGAGCCAACCAGGGAGTCAGGCGACTGGTCTGGAGACCTCCAGTCCTGTGACTGAAATGTCTAGGTCCGAAGGTGTATCGGGGTCACTGGCAGTATGGTCCTCTGTAGGGGGTCCTGCTTCTTCTTCTCCTCCTCTTCCTCCAAGGTAGCCCTGTTTCCAGACCTGAGAAGGACTGAACCCTGACATGCAGCTGCCCACTGTAGCTCTAGTGCTCAAGCAGAGCTCAACCTATACCAGACCCACACCTTATTTCCCCTCCTATTTTTGTAGCTGTTCTTACTTTTATGTTCACACAATGGCATCGGCATCAAAACAGCGGCTTGTATTCCCCACCCCCTTTAATACAGATTTACGCTTTGCAGGGGAAATCCAGTAAATTAAAAGTCCTGCTGCTAATGTTTGTGGAAATGAACCATTTGCAATATTACGGCTTGATGGGAAAGTATCCTATATTTCTGAGAGAACTTAGTTGGATGGAGAAGGAGGCTCTCATGCTGGCTGCATGTCATCTGTAGTTTGCTAAGGATGGTAGTAATTGCAGCTCAGCGAGGGGTAAACTTTCCTTATTTTTACTATTTTACTATTGTTTAGTAAACTTGTCTACTACCCTTCACCTGAAGATCACAGGGCAGCTCGCAAAATAAAAATACAAAACGAGAGCACAGAATACACAATAAAGCAAAAAACAAACAAACCACCACTGCAAGGCCATCTTGCCCTGAGAGGGAGAGAAGCTACAACAGCCTGGAGAGCTCTCCACCATCTAGCTCTCAGTAGTTTACCTGAGGTGGCCTCTCCCTCCCACAGGATCACCACAAAGCTGCCCAAGGAACCATCTTGCCCTGGGAGAAAGAGAGATTTTGTGTTTGTTTGTTTTTCAAAAAAAGAGCCCCCCACCCCATCGCAGCTCCCCAAGACACCTTGCCTTGGCTGTTTATATAGCTTTGAGTGATGCTTACTGTTTTACCTGTTCTACATAAACTGCTTTGTGAGATTCGCCTGCAAAGCAGTATATAAATAAATGATAAATCAAAAAAGATCAGCAGCCTTCTTGCCCAGTATGCACCTTATAGTCCTGGCTTGCATGCTGTAATGTTTTTTTTCTCTCAGCCTCCCTCCCTCCTTCCCCACTCCACCACAGCCATCCTTTTGTAATTGAAAACAGAGCACAGCATCTCTCAAAAGTGGCTGTGTGATGCTTCCTCTTTCCCAGATAGACCATTATTCCATCTTTTCAAATGTTTATGAGTTGCCTCTTTGCCAAAGCACACAACATGACTTCCAACAATAAAACCAAAACGAAATGAAACATAAAACAATAACAGGTAAATAGCAACCATCTTTACAGTAGCAGCACGAAGCCCTCTTTGAAATAACAGCCAATCAATCAAGCTAAAGACATACAGGTTGAAATAAACGTAATGTTATTTCAGCCTGTACAACATACAAATATATAACAAGCTGGGACATGGAGCAGAACCACCCCATTAAATCAGAGGTAGGAACCTTGAGTCCCTCCAGACATTGTTGGGGTTTGTACACATTACCATTTATTTTGGCTCCAGTAGGCTCCCACTGCCAGTGTGTGAAGCTAGCTGAGGCATGTGACACTAGGCCCAAGCCATCTGTAGATTTTTGAGAAATACTGTTCACAGTATCAAATGATCACCCTAAACAAGAAGACTCCCATAGCCGTTGCCTTTGGACAAATTATTTTAGTTGCGTGGCGAGTTCCCGCCCCCCACCAGGATAAATAAAGACACGAGACAAATTATTTTCGTTATTGATTTACTACATTTATTCATTTGTTCAAGGAGCTTGAGGCATCATACTCCTCCATAAGATCTTCACAGCAGCCTGTAGAGCCTGGATAGCTCAGTTGGTTAGAGCGTGGTGCTGATAACGCCAAGGTTGCAGGTTTGATCCCTGGATGGGACAGCTGCATATTCCTGTATTGCAGGGGGTTGGACTAGATGGTCCTCAGGATCCCTTCTATGATATTTCCATGATTAGGTTGAGAGATAGTGGCTGACCCAAGGTCACCCACAAAGCTTCATGGCTTAGAGGAGATTTAAACCCTGGTCTCCCAGATCCTAGTCCAGCACTCTTAACCATACTGGCTCAGATACTGTCAGGCAGCAACTTAAAACAGGAAGAAAGCGATGTGGGTGGGAACCTGACTTTGCCTGCTGAGTTGCTGGAGGCAGGTAAACAAGCACAAGACAAAACTGGCAGCAATTCAAATGATAGGGAGCAGTTCAGTTGCTCCACTCGCTCTTAGGCGATACTCCTTCAGCTGCTTTAGCAACAGGCATTGAGAGAAGCTTAAAACAGGGAGGAGCCCAGAGTGGCGTCCCACTAAGAGCAAAGTATGGGTAGCCGGTGGGTGGTCCTGCCCCAGGCGCTTTCAAGCTGGGTTTGGCCTAACCTGCATGTGCTCTGCCACTGAACTATGGTTCCTCCAAGTGACCTACCTTATTCTCAAATATAACCTAACCGAAGTAAGAGCAGGGACTTTCCTTCCTGTATTTGGCAATACAGAAACAATGAAGATAGATTCCTTCTGCCCTGACCTTTTATAACAGGGGTGGGGAAGCTCCTCCCACCTCAAGGCCGCATTCACTTCTGGACAACCTTCTGAGGGCCACATGCCAATGAGGAGGAGCACCAGAAGCATGAGTGGTTGAAGGAGCAAAGGGAAAGTTTAGCTTTGTACAGTTGGCTAGTTTCTGCATGCACACACCCATCTCTATCCTCCTTCCCAACAAGCAAGAGGCATTATCAGAGTTCAAGGAGACATTCCAGGCAGGCAAAAGCACTCAAGGAGGGTATGAAGTAGGGGCCAGTGAGGGGAAGTAGAGTGCTGTAGAGAGGAGCGTGGCCTGGGGGGAGAGTCCTGAGGGCCAAACAAATAGGGTGCAAGGCTGCATTATCCACTGGGCCTGAAGTTCCTCATCCCTGTTTAGTGAGTACCCTTACACAAAAAGGCTGTGGTTTATCCTTCATCCTTCTCTGTTGGGCCAGGTATCATACAAGCTATTCATGGGAGCACTGATGCTTGTGTTAGTGGGCTTCATATTGGCCATTGGTTTAAATTGACTTGTATTACATTGGTTTAGCTATATTAGAACAACAGATGCCTAGGAAGTTACTGCTCCGTCATGTCTCCTCTGGTGATGGATGTTAATTCAAAATTGCCTTGATGATTTGTGTGATTAAATATTTAGTAAGAGGGCCTGACTGACCATTTTCATTAATACAGCACCATTGCTCTTCATAAAGGCCTTTCACAGGCCTCTAAATGCTAAGGATTTTAAGCATAGCTTTAGTGCTCTATCCCATTCTGGTTTCTGCCAGCGTTCGAAGCATTTTCACAACTGCTCCAAAGACTGCTTTTCATCCCAAATGTTTCCTTTCTGAATGTCATTAATGTAGGATACAAAGCAAAACAAAACCATTCAAAAATTAAATGAGTGGGAATCCCAGACTGTTGTCAAATGTTTTATTTTCTCCCTTTGGTACCCAGACATGAAGAGAACGTACAACACTTTAAAGTGATGAGGGACCCAAAGGGCAACTACTTTTTGTGGAGCGAAAAGTTCCTGTCACTAAATAAACTTGTGGAATTCTACAAGACTTCTTCCATCTCCAGACATGCGCAGATCTTCCTGCGGGATGAGACCCAGAAAGAACAGCAGGTAAATCTCAAGGAGCTCTGTTTTTACCGAGCCAGGGTGAATGAGTACATATGAAGCAGAAGCATGTAATTAGGCGTCCTAATGGACTTTTTCCATGAGACAAACTTGTGCCCAATCCCACCTTTTCTTTTCTTTTTTGTTAGCTTTAATGTTATAAAAATCAATTGATTTTCGTAGAGACATTTATAAGTGAACCAGGAAGTGAACTTTCCAGACCAAGCAATGTAGTAAAATTCATGAAATTTGACGATGAGCATGACTGGGAATTGCCCCTCTGGGACGGCTTGCCTAAAAATAAAGGTCTTCAATGGAATAGAAGGTGGGGACTATGGTGGAACTATGGGAAGAGCATTCATGCTGGTTCATTGAAAGGATACACTTTTTGTTGAAGCTGAAAATCTCATTTCACTGCCGTCTTTTGTTTTGATTTATTTTACTCCTTGCTCATCTGGATTTAAGGCCCAGAAACCATTACTCTTGCTCCAGAAACAATTAATTTAATATTGATAAAATTGCTTAGTCGGCAGATATTAAATCTCAGTGCATCTCCTCTGCCCAGAAGCTACTTTCACTAAGCTAGTTTAATTTGTTTTGGCACTAGAATTCATTTAGGAAAAGAAAAAGTCCCCAAAGAGGGTCAAGTTGTAGGCTTTCTATGGTAACTGAAACAGCTACCAGCCCTACTTCCCTTTCCCCCCACCCACTCCCCCATCCTGCTAGCCGCTCAAGGCTCACCCAATGCCACTGCCAGCTGTAATCTGCACCGCTGCCCTTTTAAGCCTATGCACCCCCTCTGCTTCTGACTCCAAGGAGTGCCCTGGCAAATGACATCATCAAGCTGTGCCACCAAGTTTGGAGTTGGCCACCATGTTGCACAAGGCAGAGAGGCAGGATGCACAGCCAAGGTGGCGCTGGGGGGCGGAGACAAAACCTCAAAATCAGAACACCCACTTTCAGATCAGCAACTGTGGTGGCTTTATCAATTCAGGGACTGTCCTGGCAGAATCAAGGCAGTTGAGGGGTAGTTTAGAGGAAGAAAGACACATTTCTTATTTCAAATGATGCATTGCTGACTTTTAAGTAGCAAGTGTGAAGCAGAATGGGGTCCACTACATAACAAATAGTTAATGGGAGGAAGCATATTAACTCTGCACTCCACATAATAGATAAAAGGTTAATCTCAGTGATGCCAGGACCCAGATCATGGTAGATTACTGGTGTATTGTTTGTCTTATGAAGAACATTAGAATAGATTTATCATGATTAAAGCCACATGAGAGACAGAGATCAGCAGGTGGGGAGGGAAAAGGAATATCATCCTTTTCTGGTGCAAAGATGAAGGCTTAGCAGACACCACAGTCACAGACCACTCATCAGAGGGATAATTTACATTCTGGAAATGAATGTTTGGTTGAGTGAATCAAGGCATAGAATTTGCAGAGCAGTAGTGAAAAGTCTCTCTCTTTCCCGTCTCTCTCCTGCCGACTAGCAGAAAAGAAAATCAGCCACCCATGCAGCACATTTTTAATTTTGTTCTGGTGACTATGCTACCCCTGCTCAGTTTTAACACAGCTCAAACTGTTATTAGGGAATACTGAGAAGGCAGGATCAACCATTATCATTGTTGCTCAGGTCTATGGGCAGTGATAGGAAATATCACAATTATTTTCATCTGCAAGCATTGATTTTCTCCCTCATCTTGCAGCTGAATCTAAGATTTTCCTGTTTGTGAACATTTTCCTCCACCCTGTCCTGCAAAGACAGTGATGCGTGACTGATGGGTGGCCAGTTGTGTTACATTCCTTCTCTACCATCCATCCACTACTGGAATTTTGGAATTTTATGTGCAATCCTTACTAAAGTCATCATACAATCCATATATAAATTCATGAAAGATCATTCTGTCAACAGCTATAAGCCACAATAGTTAAATGATACCTCCATGCTCAGAAGCAATATAACTCTTATTACCACTAGTGATGGCCACCAACTTGGATGAGATGAATTCATGGAGATGGCTACTAGCCATGATGGCTGTGCTTTGACTCCACAGCGGGAGGCAGTAGTGCTTCAGAATACCAGTTTCTGGAAATCACAGGAGGAGAGAATATTCTTGTGCTCAGGTTCTGCTTGAGGGTTTCCCACAGGGGAAACAGACTAAAGGGGCCACTGGCTTGATCCAGAAGATGCTTCTTATGTATTTATGTTCTTACCAGTTGCTGGGTGCAGGGGTGGGGAAATGGAAGAAAGGGCCTTTGTCTTCATGCCCTGCCTGTGGGCTTCCCTGAAGTACATGAAAACCAGCATACAGACCATAGTTCTAAATAACCCTTAATAAAGACTTGGACTGATGACTTTCTAAACCCCATAATAACCATAGCAATATTATCAACGCAGAAAGCACACAGTGCAAGTAGATAAATAGGTACCGCTCCAGCAGGAAGGTAAATGGCGTTTCCATGCACTGCTCTGGTTCACCAGAAGCAGCTTAGTCATGCTGGCCACATGACTAGTGCTGTACGCCGGCTCCCTCAGCCAGTAAAGTGGGATGAGCGCTGCAACTCCAGAGTCAGCCGCGACTGGACCTAATGGTCAGGGGTCCCTTTACCTTTACCTTTAATCCCATTTAATGATTTTAATACATAGTCACTCAGGGAGAAAGCTAGGAGTTCAACATCAAACATTAAAAACTTCCTTATACAGTAATAATAATAATAATAATAATAATAATAATAATAATAATAATAATTCCATTATTTATATACGAGAGGACTCCCCCACCACCTCCCTAAATGATTCCAATATTTCTATGGGGTTAAGGTCATTATTCTTTGAATTTTACAGAGGAGAAATTGAAGTGCATGAGCCAGCAATTAAATTAGCAGTCTGTATTTGGAGTGGGGTGGGCTAGGGCTAATATGAAGCAGCCCATGGTGGAATCTGCTTACAGGTTTGCAATGAAGTGACTGGCACAAATGAATCCATTAGACCAGATATGAGTAGGGCAGCCGAAGCATCACATTCCGAGATTTGAGGGCAGAATCCAGAAAGCAGGCCGGCCTTGACAAAGATATATTGGTAACGCTCTGCACAGACACACATGCCTGCCCTGTGTACTTGATCCTTCTCTGAAGCAATAACTGCCCATTAATGACTTGCCATTACACACGTCCTAAACCAGCTGTCCTTAGTCAGAGATGCTACAAGGAAGAGGATGAATTGCTGTATGTGGGACATATCTCAGTGTGGGACAGGAATAGATGGAAGATGAAGAAAAGCTGGACAGCTCCCATTCATAACCCTCCACTAGTTGTGAATTTGCAGTCCAACACTCTTTTATCCCTTGGCTGATGAATTGTTGCTCGCTACAAAACATGACAACTGAAAATCCTCCCAGTTCCAAGATCGCACCTTCTCAGGCTTTGCCTCCTCACTTCTTGACAGTATTACTTTCCTGAGCCAAACTAAGTAAGAAATGGCTGGGCCAGTTTAGATGTTAAAAAGAGAGCCTGAGGGCCAAATTCCAATTAACCTCAAATGTTAACTAAAGCAACCTGAGCTGGGGGAAACTTACACTCTTGTTCCTCTCAAAATTTACTTTAGTTTTTTTATAGCTATTTTACATTTCAAGGCAGAAAACCAAAAGGGTTAAAAAGATACACAAACAAACAAATGACTTTACCTCCTGACACAAAGAATTTGTCAAGAAATCAAAGACGGTAGAATCGTTACTGAGAAAGTGCTGCCTTAGTGAGATATTTCTATTCCTGTTTTGTATATAATATTATTTTCTTAAAAAAAGAAACCCAGTTGTGTAACGGGAGTCTCAACCATTTCAAAATGACGTGTGTGTGTGTGTGTGTGTGTGTGTGTGTGTGTGTGATGAACTGACAGGATGGCAGGAAGGAGGAAGAGAAATCCTGCTAAAGGGTATAGCTAGGACTGGGGCAAGCTGGGGAGGGGGGGAGAGATTGGTGTAGGAAGTGCCCATAGGGTGACAGAGGGTGGTGAGGGGATGGGGGTCAATGCACAGGAACCAGAGCAGCAGGACCCAGAGCCAGAGGGGCCCCTGTCTCCACAAACATGATGGGTTCTGAGGCATAGAGAGCAGCAGGAGGGGCGTTCTTGAGGCAGGCAAGGGCCTAGAGCCCAATTCCCTAGCTAGCCAGGTGGGGCTTGTTAGCTTTGGGTGGAGGTATGCGATTCCTCAGCTGAAGTAGGCTCGGAACAGGTGAGGGTCACATACCTCGCCAAGCCCAGGTGTTGCAATCAGCAGGCAAAGTACAAAAGGGAAGCCCAGCTGAGGGGCTGTGCTTGCTCAACTGCCCAGGTTGATTGGACCATGGCTTGGATGTTCCAGAGAGCTGTTTGGAGCTCTGTGTGTGCAGAACTGACCTCCAGATGCCTAACCCTTGGATCATAGTTGTAGAGATGGGAATTTGCCTGCTGGGGCTTTGGACCTGTTTGTCTGTTGGACTGTGTGCTACCATCTACTATAGAATTGTGCACTCCAGCGGGACTTGCTGCCAGGTACCCTGTGGTTCAGGATGGTGTGTGTGTGTGTGTGTGTGTGTGTTGGAGTTTTGATTTCTGGGGATCTGATCCAGCATTTTGCTGTATTGGTAACAATCATCTGTGCAAGTCCTCTTTATCAGACTCAAGTCTGGATCTCATCTCCAAACATCTTTGGGTCTGTTTGTTTTTTAAAGTATAATCACAAAATGAAAGGCCTTGTAAATACTCATACATGTCTACTGGTTTAATTGTTTAATTTTTTTTGTTGAAATTAATCTGAGTAAGCCACTCTTAAATTCAAAAGTGTATGGCCATCCCTTGTTCTCAGTCGCATAAGTGTAAATTTGCTCCCCTTGTTAAACGAAAGTAGCTCAAGCACTAATTGGTGTGATGGTGGCAGATCCTGTATTAGGAGGCAGGTTGCTGGTGAATTTCTATAACATGGGAAAGGTGTTAATACTTAATGCTGGAAGAAAGAGGGTACAGAATTCTTTCTCTGCCCTCACTTTCCCTTTGAAATCTCTCCCCCATATGTTTTTTCTCCAGTGGGTTTCTGAGTAGTAATCTAAGAGAAAGTAGACTTGGGGGGAGGTAGTTTGGGGGGGAAAGTATGGGTGCCTGTTGCATATTTGCTTTCAAACCCTCCCACCCTTAGGTTAAAGAATTTCAACACAACCTAGATACTAACACATTGTGCCACCATAAAGTGTAGCGAGCCTGTAATATAGTTGCAGGTGTGGTATAAAACTAATTTCTTACAACTGCACAAACCTATATGAAAGGTGAACTTAAAAATAATTTTAAAAATAATTTTAAAAATAGTGGGGGTTTGCCCATAATGCATTACTGGTTGTTTTCATTTGT